TTCTAATAATAAATTACTTTAATTTAAAACAATACTTTCCGTCACTTACAAAATGGAAACATATAATTTATGCAAATTCATGACGATTCACACACCTTTGTGTATTACAACATAAGATTAACATACAGAGTGAAATATATACATACGAACATATGTGCATGTATAACAGACATTTGTGCCAACGTGCTTGCATATCAAGCTGAGCTCTTCTTGCAGCATAAAAAAAAAATAGACGCGGTGCGCAGCGCATAAAATTACTTTTGTGCAGTTGTGGTTACCTTTATATATGTATGTATGTATATATACAAATATATGTGTATGAAGACGTAGTTATGTATGTTTGCATAGACAAATTGTTGACGTCTTTTACTATAAATACAGTTGATTTTTATGTAATCGACATTACCATTTCAATACAAAAAGTAGGCAACAACAACAAAACAACAACAACAACACGAGCAACAAGGCAAGAAGACAAGCCATAGATAAAGAAAAAGATGTTAATAGGCTGTTTGGCTGGCGAAATAATGAAAGAGAAACGTATTAAAAATTTATATGTATGTAAATATGTATACATATGAGGCAAAGAAAATGAAATCATCCACGATATTTATTATTTGTACATACATACATACATACATACATACGAGACAGCAATAATGCTAATGTGTAGACATGTATCTACATATGTATGTATTGAGGCTATAATTTCCTTAATCGTTTTTTGTTTTCATTTCATGCCACATAGATACATACATATGTATGTATATATTTATTGCATTTAGTCTCATTGTAGTGCGATTCAGACGAAGTTGCATGATTTAACGTCAATGCAACAATTGCTAATATACGTACATACATATGTACATACTTACATAGAAACATACACACAATACATAATAGATAGGCGTTTTGCCGCTGAGTTGTATATGAATGGGCTGTGGCTAATGCTGGCGCTATAGAAATTTTGTTGCATTTGTTTTGGCCTCGCTGCTTGCTACAAATTACTTTTATTATTATTTTTTTAATTTTCATTTTTGTTTTAATTCACATTTTATTAGCGTGTTTATACTATTGAAATCAAATTCATAATAATTTTTTTCTGTTCTTCTTTTCAACAATTTCCTATATTTAATGATGCAGTTTGCGTGGCACGGCGAGGCGTTAAACGTCTGGGCAGTTACTAAACGTGATTTTGTTCGAAATTATGCGCAAAGAAATTAATAGTTTAATTGTTTGGAAATTTTCGCTGACAGGCATAGATATATATATACATAATTCGAAGTTCATGTATTGAGCATAAAATAAGAAAAAGGATTTATAAAAAATTAATGAAAAGAAAAAAAATCACATACATACATTTTTAAGTGTGAACATCGTTAATGCGTGGTTTTTAGGTTATGTTACGAGAGTGCCGGATAAAAATCCCGGTCGTTTCGGTATAAAGACCCGACTGTCGCGGGCACTATTGAAATTTTGCTTGAATCCCTATGCCAGATCTCACTCCACTTGGTCTTTCCAACGGAGTGGAGAGGTCTTCGGCTTCTTAACCATCCATCTAGTACCAAATAACCTAGCCAACGTTGTCGCTGTCTCTTGATTCGACATCATAAGACCTCATATGCTATATTGAGTAGGTTTATTCCACGTTAATGGGCGCGGATTGTGGGGTAGCACACTTAGGTTCAAATTGTTGAAATTTAGCGAAGAATGGGACATGTGCTTTGTCAGTTATTTGGCTATGTTTAAAAATCCGTATAATATGGCACGTCTATATCATCGTATTCAATTGGGGTTTCGAAATCACCATTTTCCAGTGTTTAACTGAAATTTATTACGCTGGAGCACAGTTCAGTATGTTGCTTTGGATATCGATTATCAGATCATATCTTACATGAGTATGCTCCGCTCGTGAAAACTTCTGTAAGACGCTGCATTTTCTCATAGAATATTTGAATATTACCTCTGCATTAGACATTTGGGCCTATTTTTTTTTGTCTTCCATTGCGTATCAGTGTCTCTAAAACTAAGCGTACTTTTTCATCAATCGAAACCTTGCGAGGTAGACAGTATTTTCTGTGCACTGCGATACGACAATCTTCAGCGTATCAGCTATTTTTTCGACTTTGTTCTTAAGCCGCCAAGCGGAATTTGACATCATGCTCTGTACGCTCTGACACTGGTCGGCTGTTGCGCTCTACATAGACTCTTTGATCATTTGTAATGCCATATTGAGGTTCGTTTTACAGTAGTCCTTTCGCGAGTTCTAGCTAAGGACGAACAGACACCGATAATGGCTTCTGACGTGTCTTCCTCCCTGCATTTCCTACATCCCTTCGAGTGTATATACGACAGATATTAAAGGCTTCTCATAAAAAACCAGCAGTCGATCGGATGCAAGTTAGTATAAACTGTAGGTCCTTCCATTTGTTGGGAAAACATCAAGACGCATACTATAAATTCGAGGAGGAGCTCGGCCGAAAACCGCTTCAGTGGCCGAAAACCGTTTCAGTGGTTACAAAGCGACAGTTACATATATATATATTCGTAAGGAGGCACTTTGTGTCCCTTTTTTGCCCCGAATGGCTAAAGGAGATAATGATTGGCAAGCTATTGTTGATTCGGCTTTAATCGCGAAAGCGTTTTAAATTGCCATTTCCCGCAACTAACGTCACAAACATCAAAATTCTCTCTTAAAAAGTTTATTTAGAAAACAAATTCGTAAAATTTTGGGTTCATTTGTTCAGCGATTATTTATATTACATTTTATGGGCGAGTACTATTGTGAATACAAGACGCTTGTGTGTTCGCTTTCTCTTTACTGTTACTGCCCGTTAGGGGGTGGCTAGCCGCTGATGGCTTTTGTAGTGTTGCAAAAACAACAAAGCATTAAATAAAGCTAAAAAGATGATGTCATACATACATTGTAAATATGAATGTGTATATGCATATATGTGTGTGAATGTATGCAAACAGATACACACACTCATTAATGTATTTATGCACAATGCACTGCCTCGAGTGAATTCGAAAACCAAATATTTGCCGCTTAGAAACATATAAATTTTCTACACATATTTTTCTTGCTTAGATTTTCGTTCGTTTTCTCTTTCTTTTTACTTCACTTATATATATACACATAAATGTATTTTAATTTTGTACATCTGGGCGCGCTCAGTGTTCAGTTTACTTGACCAATAATCACTTTGCAAAATATTTACAAATTAATTTGCTTAAATATATATGTATATACATATGTAAGTGTGTATGTATGCACATGTCTGTGAATTATTTCCATTTACTTAATATTTATTTTTATTATTATTTTTTTTCCTGCAAATTTCTTTGGGTGTGTTCACTTATATCAATTATCAATTTGTTGATATTTATTAATTTCCTCTTTAATTTCCTTTTGCTGCATTTTCTACTTGCGCATTTAATTGACTTCTCAAATGTTGTAGAGGAAATAGAACGACGTTTTATTCTTGTTTACTTAACGTATAAAGTGTTAATTGTATTATAATGAGGACAACAATGGGATGGTTATGTACATATATATCCGCTGTGGCTTATCGATCAAAACTTTCGGTTTTTTTTTGCAAATTAGTATTTTTTTTACATTTTTTTTTAGATTAGACTGCAATAACCTGCTGCCATTCTGAAGCTCCCAGGGTACTAGTTTTGGTTCTATCAACATCCGAAAAGAAATTCAATTTTTCCAATCGCGGTCGCCGCTCGGCTGGAAATGTCAAGCCCGTCGAGTGTATTTTTGATATGAAAATCAAAGCCATTTGGAGGTGAATAGAAGATGTTTGATGTTGTTGTTGTTGTAGTTGTTGTCGCAAAAATATTCTCCCCAAGTAGTTTTTGGTACATGTTGCGCGAGTGACAGTCCTTGGCCGCATCATTCCGGTACAAATACCCAATTGTCACGGGAACTTTTGGATTTTAGTTACTATTTTGACGAAAGGCACGAAGGGGGTGATATTTTCCTCTTCCAGAGCCAGTGAGCTGTTCGGTTAGATTGATCTTGTATCTCCTTGTATATAACACTAGCAACACTTCGTTTGAGTTGACACAGATACTAGAACGGGTAGGCCAGAGCGAGACCTTTCTAAGTGTTCCGCACACCAAATCACAAAGGATTTATGGGAACTTTCCTTTGTGCGCATTGAATTTGCCTCCACCCCGTTATGTTTGCATTAAAAAGGAGTTTACTATCAGGTTCCAGAGTAATGGGTAGCGAGCTCCGACCTGTGTTGTTTGTGTCACTTAAGCACAACAATGCAGCTATAACCATACTTAAATTGTGGTATAAGCCGCCCCCTCTATATGCAGCAAGAGGTTTTTGGTTTGATAGGTTTTTCAATTCTACGAATTATTGCAAAATTGCAAAGTAAAGTAATAAATATATCTTAGATATATGTACATTTGTATATCAATCATAATGTTTACTTTTCTTTTTTGTTAAACTATTTTTTTTCTGTGTCCGCTTTTTTACTATTTTGAGTCGTCTAAGATATGACGCAAGCTAGCCGGTCATTATTAATTTTCATAATTGCTATATTTAATTATTTAATTGTATAGGTTTTAGCTGTGTGGCAAAGAAAAAACACGTAAAAATTAAATAATCACAGTTAATGGCGTTCACTTTTTAAGCGTTTGCCGGAAATTGTTGAAAATGAAAGTTTTTTTTTACCACTATGAGAGTTGTGAAGTTTGCGCAAGAATGGAAATAAATAATTATTTTATTCTTTTATTGTTAGCGTATCGAAAAATCGATGCAAACATTTACACATTGCTGCATTTATTTCTATATTTATATTTTATAAACGGTTTTTTTTTAATATCCTTCAATTGTAAATGTGTCAAAATAACGCGTAACTTCCACAAACAAAGACCAGCAGTTGATGTCAATGTTTATCGATAAACGATATTTCGCCTAACTGTCAAATCGAATTTGCTTTATATTTTAACCCCTTTGATTTTTCTCATTGCAGATATCAAATTGTCGGACGTTGTTTTTGAACAAAAATATATACAAAACAAAAATACATGCATGCATAAATAGTATTAACGTAATACTATTATACGTATATGCATAATAATTAATAGGTGAGTTAATATTTAGATTTTTGATTTGTTTGTTGAGCGATTTTTCTCTCTGCAAACATTTGCCATTCCAATACACAGTTATGTATGTGCACATCAAATGTCAGAATAGCGTTGATTGATATGATGTATGTTTATGTACATATACAAATGCATTTATTTGGCTAAATTTGTAGTTCCGTTTGACGCTGTGCATTTCACAAAGTTCTTCCGCCCATTAAGAATTATACACAAACATATTCACATAAGTACATACAAAAATATATAAATTGACATGAGCCATGAGCGCGAGTATGTAAGGTAATGTAGCTAAATTGTTTGCTGCATGAGCGCGCTGCTACATTACAAACGAGTGCATACGTATGTAAAGGTGTACATACCGACGCAAAGCCACTTTCCGGTCACTTAAACTTAATTGTCTCTGAAAAGTGCTGCTGAAGGTCTTGAGACTCGTCAAGTAATAGAGAATGTTTTTTTTTTTCTTATTGTATTTCATGTTTGCTGAGCTGTTCGAGCCACACCCGTCGCTGTCACCGGCACAGCGTCGTTTGCTGCTTATGCTTATTGGAATTATTAAAGTCAAAGCACTCGACAAACATTTCAGTAAAACAGCTGATTTTCCTACCAGTCAAAGCAATTTTTATTTACTCGCTGAAAGGTTTTTTATTCGCTGTTTGAATTTTTCACATTTGTTCGCAGCGCAAGCAATTTATGAGAAAAATTAAAATAAACATATGAAATAATTATTAAAATGTTGATTTTATTATTTAAATATAATATATGTAGTGCTATTGTTTATTTTTATATTACTACAGTTTATAGGCAATTATTTTAATGAGATTGACTGCTTAAATTGTTTGCTTATAATTTCATGAAACTTCGGTAGGATCGTCGGGTACTCGTAATTTGAAAGTCTTTAACGTTTACTTTACAATCAAGTTGCCGGCAACAGAGTTCGCAGTAGAATGGGGAAAATTATAGTGAATTCGAATGTTATGCTTAATAAACATGTAAAATGAAAGTGCAATGTACATGCGTTAAAATCGGCTTTATACAGTGCGTAAATGTTGCTAAAATTAAATGAAATAAATGTTGTTTAATTTTGCGCATTTAACGTCTTATTAAATGAGCTTTTCGACCGAAAATCACTAGAGCGATTATAAAGCGTCAATTACATATACATATATGTACACATGTATGCAAGTACATACATATATAAAGGAATAAATGAATATTGCAAGTAAAACTTTTTCTCGCTTTATAAACAACAGCAGATGCACTTAACCACAAGCAAATGCTGGAAATTTTTTTAATAAAAATAACTCTTGTGCAAAAAAACTTTTTTTTTAAATTTTTTTATGTACTTTTACCGTGCTTCATTTTGACTAAATTTTCAAAAATATTGTTTCGCTGCTTACGTGTATTAGTAGGAAGAAGAAGTCGTCACGGTCAGCAAAACAAAAGCAATTGAGGAAAAAAATGTTTATAAAAATAATTAAAATATATATGTATATGCATACAAAGACGACGGGCATAGTTATAGTATATACAAACAAATGCCTGAAATAAAAATTTACGCGAAAAACAACAACAATATATAAAAAAAAAACAAAAACAAAAAAATGAAAGATTACCACCTTCGCCACTGCCTTAGCTAACGTCCTCATAAACACAACGAACGCACGCACCACAAATTGGGAGCAATCGCGGGCAAGTTTGGGAAAGAGTTCATTTACCTTCGTCACACTTGAAATTTTTCAACAACGGCGCACCGGCAACTCCAACGCTCTGTGTAGTGTGCTTACTTTAGGAGTTTTCAAGTATTTTCGGTTGCCAACTATTTGTAGCGTACATACATATATATATATATATAAATATATATATGCATTTGTACACTCTTTTTCGGGAGCTTTTACCGCAGAGAAATGAAATGATGAACAAGTTTGAATGAAGTTGTAGCGCGGTTTGTGGGTGTATATACGAAAAAACAAAAAAAAAAGAAATGAAATTGAATGAAAATAAAATATAATAAATGTGTAGTGATTTTGGTTTTTTTTTTTTTTTTTTTTTTTTTTGTTGAAAGTAATGCTCGGCTGCGCTATAAACTACTTAAAATAGCAAACGCTGACAAGCAAGATGAACGAAACTTCGGGTATTAGTCATTGGCTTACGTAGAAATCTTCAAATTTATTTTATCACCTTAGAGAGATTAGTTGATTTAAATGTACAAAAAATTTGAAATGCATAAATTTGTTAGTTCTAAAAATATATACCCACATCTTATACATTAGCCAATTCAATGCCACAACCATTGAAAAAAAGTATCAGTTGCATTATTCTTAATTAAATTTGAAATTGTGTCTACGTTATGGTGTTTGCAAATATTTTGAGGTTTCGGTCGACGAAAGTCAACAAGAGCACAAAGTATCATGGCCAAATCGTTTAGGAAAAAAAAAAAATAAAATAAATGTGTATAATGCAGATATGTATATCAGCATGACCTTTATGAAAATGTACGCATGGAAATATGATATCACTTGTATACCGTGTAATTATACATATAAGTATTCCTATGTACATACATATGTATGTATGTATGTATGTGTGAAGCGACTGACCAAGTAGCTACATATATTGGCGCAGTATAAATAAATATGGCATGACATTATGAATTTAATTTCAAGTTAGTAGTTCATAAAAAACTTGTTTTTCTTTGGCGACATTTTTTTTTTTTATAAAATGTATGTTTGTCAAGAGCCTGTGCACGAAATTATGTACATATCATATATCGGTATGTATGTATATTGCAAGAACTTGAATAAAATGAATGAATGCATGTTAGGGTCGTTAGAGCTTAATTTAATTAAATTGATGATGATGAAAGTGATGACCACATTCCACGTTTCGTCTGGTTTTGGGGCGGATCAGACGTAAGGAGGAGGAGGAGGAGTAGGCGAAGGAGGCTGAATTGTGATTAAAACATTTAAACTGACAAGGCGAGAAGACAGTTTGAATTTGTTGTTTTTAGAATAAAATTTTTAAACTTTCATTGCTTTCTATTCGAGCGAAGCAACCATCAACAACATTAAGTTTTTCGAAGCGACAAACCAACAAGAATAAATCGAATATAATTTAAATGGTAAATTTTGTAAAATTATACTTTTATTTGTTTATATCCAAAAAAATTTCTTTTATTTTTTTGTACCTACTTACATACATATGTGTGTGTTTTCTCACATTTTCATCAGATGAAATTCGAAATTAATTTGTTTAACAATTAAATTAAAAAAAAAAGAAATCATAAAAAAAGTCACCGTGAATAACAAGTGCTCAACTAAGACTAATTTGCATTCAACAGCATTTTCTATTATGCTTAACTTCCTATACGTTGTATAAATAAAATAGTAAATATTTGAATTTTGATGTTTTTATGTGTACAAGTGGTTTTTAACTAATAGACATGACATCATTACATATTACAGACACGTCATTGTTGTTTTTTGTGTAAATTGTATGGTCGACAAACAAATTTTAACAATAGGTGGGTAAGCATACATGCATACATACATATGTATATATTTACTACTAGTAGAAATTTTTTTTTTTGGCATACAAGAAATTTTTTTTATAATTGAAAACGGTTAAATCAAACGGTCAAAAAATAAAGAACGAAGCTCAAAAAAAAAATTAAATAACAAAAATCGAAGAAAAAAATAAAAGTTAATTATAATTTGTTTAATTAATATTAATAATTAAAAAAATAATAATAAAAAATAGGTAAAACAAATAAAAATTAACTTGAAAAATTATAAGTAAATAAAATTTTATTAAAAATAAATAAAAATAAATGAAATTAAAAAAGAAGACGAAATTAAAAAAATTTAGACTAGGAAAAAAATAAACAAAAAGTCAATAATAAAAAAGCAACAACAACAAATTGAAACAATTAAATAAATTAGAATTAGATCATAGCAATAAAAAAAATAAAATAAAAATATAAAAGTAAGTAAATTTAAAAATATGTAAATTAATAATTGAATTAAAACAATGTTATTAAAAAATTCAAATATTCAAAATTAGGAAATAACTTAAAAGTAACTAAATAAATATAAAAAATTAAGAAATAAATTTAAAAATTCAAGAAATAAATTAAAAAATGGAATAAATTAAAAAAAAGAAATAAATTTAAAAATTCCGAAATTAATTTAAAAAAATTAAAAAAAACGAAATTTAAAAAATTAGCAAAAAATTTAAAAGATTAGAAAACAATAAATTTAAAAACTCACGAAATAAATTTCAAAAATAAAAATTACGAAATAAATTTGAAAAATTTTAAAAAATTAGGAAATATATTTAAAAGATTAGAAAACAAATTAAAATTTATATTAAACTATAACAAAACAATGTAATAAATAAAGTGAGTAAAAAGAGAATAAATGACAAAAAAATTAAAAAGTAATAGTCAAAGTAACAAACTTAAAAACTAAAGTAAAAAAAATAAAGAGAAAATTTAAATATAAATACAAGAGTAAAAAAATTAAAACCAAAATTTAGTACTACCAAATTTTAATTATTTCTAACCCTTTTTCTTTTTAGAAAATAATTTGTTTGGCTTTTTATTGCACAATTTATTTTATATAATTTTATTACATACAGTTATGGCGTTTTAAAGAAGTTCATTAATTATATATATTTTGTTTTTTCTATTCATTATTATGTTAAATTTATTTTTTTATTTTTAATTTATTCTTTTATTTTTGTTTCCTTAATTTTTTTTATTTCTTTATTTTTTACTTTCATGTTATTTTTATTTTTATTTTTTTACATTTATTTTTTCTTTTTTAATTTTAATTAAATTCTTATTTTTAACTTTTGAAATTGTGTTTGTTGGTCCATTAGAAATACAAAAATTGAAGAAGCGATTTAGTAATAAAATTGGCCAATATAAAATATTCGAAAAAATAAGTATAAAAAGCAATAATTAATTAATTTCCATAATGTCG